CCTGTTAAAATTTTAGATTTTTTTTAAATAGCAGGTTTTTTAAAAAAGAATTGACTTGAATGAGGTAAATAATATTGTAGAAGAATAATTAATTATTAATGCATTCACTTTTACTTTAATGTGATCTGGTGTTACAAAAACGATAAAAGAAAAATCAATGACCATAAATACGTCACTAGTGATGATATAGCAGTTGTCGAAACAAGTTTCAGATTACAGTATTTTCACGTTACTGTTATTTGTCAACAACTAGGATTAACTAGCAACTTACGCATATCGCAATGTATATCGCAAAAGTTTGCAAACCTTGAAAACCAATCAGTGTGAAACATATGGCCACCATTATTACGTAATCACATAATGCGTACATTTTCAATCAAATTTGATCAACTAATACCTCCGAAACTGTAACAATGTTGTAAAAAAACAAACCATGTGACGCATATTCCTTGTTATTTTATTTATACACAAGCAACAATTAAAGCAATCACTTTGGGCGTGTTTACTAACAAAAAGTTAATTTACCACAATTACGCAGTGCTTGCTACCTACTAAAAATATCAATAATGAGAGTCCATTATGGAAACTACACAACTGCATAATGAATTATGGAAAATGCCAAATGGTATTGTTACATTGTTAGGACGTCGCAGCGATCCCTTTCGGCCGACCAGCTGGTTGAAAGGGCTGCCGAGGGCCCCGCGAGGGCACAATGCGTGAAATTCAGGCGCAAAAAACCGGTGTCGGGCAATAAGCCTCCGAAAAAGCCCCGCTATCCGCTAAAACCCAGGAACGAAGTCGAAGTTCCGTTAGGTTATCGACCTTGCACGCACCGAAATGTCCGAAGTCGTGGAAGCAAGGCGTATCTATGGCGATGACGTTGTCTAACGTGGTGGAGGGAAGTGGTGGTGGTTTAGGAAGAATGTGGGGATGAATATATCCTACCAGAATACACTATGAGCACCCCTTCCACAAATTCTACATCACAGCGACGAAGCTCCCTACCCTAAAATGCCGCGACCCGCGAAAAGACACGAGAAATCGTCTGGGGCGGACGTGGCGGCCCTTCACTCCACGAACACGCGTTTTGCGGCCCTATTTTCGATACGTACCTTGGACTGAAGGCTTCCGCGTGACACCTAGAGCACTTCTTCGCACCTTTAACACTACTTCGTCATCAAACGAGTTCATGAACGCCAGCAGTAATGCCCGGATCTGATCGGTTGCCAAGGTCTTGCGTTAACGTATTCATAGATGGCACGTGATGCGGACGGCCAGTTCAAATTTGCGCGCCAAAATTCGACATTTTGGGCGTAGGGGTAGCCACACCTACGACGGCTCTAGCCGTGTTTTTAACGAAAGGAAGAGATGATGGTGGACGCTCGCTTTGCTTGTTTTCGCAAAAATTTTTGTTTGTTTTAGGTTTTGCAATCGCACAAGAAATTGGAGTGATGGGCGGCAAAATACATCGTTCGATTGCGTTTGTTATGATTTCAAAATGTTTTTATTATGCAATATGCTGTATCACGAAACTGTTTCACCACAGATTTTTTAAAGAGTAATTCGTTAAAATTGACGACTTTAATCATATTTCAATATTTTTTTCATCTTGTTCGTCAGCATATTTTATATTTATTTTAGTATTTAAAAATGAGATCATTCTTACATCTGTTTACAAAATAATGTAGAACATTCAGTTACGATTAAAACCCTCTTCTGTATCAAAAGTTCAGAAAAAATTCCTGAATCTGTTAATTTTTCAAAAAACGTGGATAAAGCACGTGTTTACATAAGTTATTAATATGCGGTGTGTCTATCTTTTTCTTGCTTGCATGCTATGAAGAAAAGAAAACACAGAATTTCATTTGAAACAAATGTGACTCCACCTTAAATATAAACTTCGATGATTTAAATTAATACAGAATATGTCACTGTTTCATTTTTTTTTGTCCATTCGTCGTTGCTGATGTTGAAAACTGTTTGTCGATATAATAACAACCGGAAATTATAAATAATTTATGTATAGGTAACCTCTGACATTCATCAGCTGCATTTATTTATGTGGGATTTACCACTATTATTATCAAATTTTTCGGAAACATGTCTAAATTGTCTGTTTTATTTTTATTTTAATGGTTTTGCAATTCGACACAAAATCATAATTTGATAATGTTATTTGATACACCATGAAACCTAATATGTACATTTTTCGATCGTTCTCTATAAAGATGCTTATTCATGTTAATAAAAAACCGTATAACGATACATAAACATGTATCAGTTAATATTTATACCAGTTAAGGAAAAAAACACCATTAACCGCATCATCCCGCACTCCATATTTTGCTCTTTTACTTTAATAAAATTGACGTTTATAATTTTTAAGTCGGTATAGGTAACTAATAAGTACAAAAATGTTGTTAACTTTCCATAAGAACTAGCACTGCACCTCGATTAAACATGTTAAAGGCTTAAATTAGCACCACAATGCAGAACTGCAAAGTATGTGTAGGTACAATTAATCATCATTAGCTGAATTTATGAAATGTCACGATATGAAAATAAATCTACTTTAGGTAGGTATATTAACATACAAGTTAGGATTATTTCGTCTTTAACATATGGGGTTTCCGCTATGCTGAGTATTTCAAATTTGTCAGTCTAAGCTAATATTTATAAACCATCTACCAAACTGATCATCATAGTACTTAGTGTTAAACTCGTGAATCTAATACATTCTGCATGCTGTAAATACATAATATAAATAATATAATGTAAACATGTAATATAAAACAACAATAATAATAATCTGTACTCTTGCGTTTACATTCTGATTATGTTAAACATATTTCCATTGTTAATGAGTTTAAATCTTGTTAAAAACCATGTAGTAGCTCACACAATAAGACGAATCGTACTACCTTTCCCTCTTTTGGTGAAATTTTTCATCAAGTATCTTTAAAAATTAGTATCTCAATTATTTATGAAAATTTCCGAACGCGATTATCACCAGTGTTTTCATCTTACGAAACTCTGTAAGTCACTTGGGAAACACTGTGACTTTTTTGTCGGAAATGATCGCACAAACATGGCTTTTGCTTGAGGATGATGACAAACTGGTAAAAAACCCTTGTGTTATATGGAGACAAATGAACAGGTTATATCAAAAATGTCATAACAATAAGTCTCTTGTTAATAATGGAAATATTACCTTCTGAAAACGTATTGAAAGTCCTATAACAGCCAAAGCAGCGACTCACCTTAAGAATAAAAACCTCTTTATTTACAGCGGTCCCGCTAAACTTAATAAAAAAAATTGACTCAAGTCAATTTTTTTGTCTGTTTGAAGATGGAATTACCCATATTATCTTGGTTGCTTTTACTTACACGACGTAAACGTAATAAGCTATCGATTGCACTTTCAAATAACAATAGTAATAATAATAAGGCCTTTGAATGAAAAATTGAAAAATGAATTTATGTATTTCAAAGTGCTATAAATAAAGGTTTTTTCGAAAGCATTATATAAACTTAAACCACTGATGCTTAAACCTTCAAGTTAAAAAGAAAAGTGAGTTACTTTTTGTTTAATAGCCATAAAATTTGTTTTTTATTTCCGGAACTATATATTTTTTCTGCATACCATAACCTACAGAGTACCTACAAAAATATATTTCCCGTTTCCATATACCTAATTATCTTATCGGAGACTTTTGACAGATACAGGAGTTTAAAAAATTACGTGTGTTTGAAGATTATCTTCAGAATGGGCAAGCGCTAACCAAAATTGTCTACTCGTCCTCTCAAAAATGCCAATGACGTAGTGTCGTGGTCTCATCACAAGCCTGTGACTTTTTTGACTATGAGTCATTTATAGACACTCATCTGTGTTATGCAGCGAGTAGATATACTTAGTTATACAAAAATGTGGTTACTTTTCCATAAGAACTAGCACTGCACCTTGATTAAACATGTTAAAGACTTAAATTAGCTTCAAGTGAGTAGTTACCCAACTCAACTTGTGACACAATTTAAAGTCGCATATAAAACTTAGCGACAAAGAAACGTCAAAGTTTTCAGGAGATTCGTATATTCCTGCATAATAACCGTGGTGATTACAATGTTCGTATTAATTTATGAATGATTTTTATGCTTTGAATAGAACAATATTTTTAGTTGATCATCAGATATTCGGAACGTTTGACTTAATGCCAAAGTGAAAATTAAATTTTCAAATACTTTTCGCCCAACCATTATGCAGTATTTAATATCACGATTAATGTGACCACGCAATTAATTAATCATGTAAACAAATTCATCCATACCCAGATTGACGACTCAATAAACTAATTTATTTTTAATTAGAATTAAATATTTAATTCCTCTAGTGTAAAACTGACCCTACGTATATACTTTATTCTAAATAAAAGTACATAAATGTAAACCGATAGAACTATTCCATTCAAAACGAAAGTTGGACGATACAAAGTGGAAATAAATAATCACACTTAATATCAGTCGCTCAAATAAAAATAAATTTTGATATTTTCACTCCCACACACTCTATTATGCCCACATATTTTACAGTAATAATCTCGTCAACATTTTACATATACTTGATGGTCTGTTAACCCACATTTTAAAGAGAATACTAATATTTAAAAAATAATAATGCAGCAAAAGTTGGAAAAGAAAATTGTAAAAAAACATAAGTAGGTAATTCATAAATTTTGGAAAATAATAGGTTAAATGTCAAACGTAATATACATTGGAACAATTTTATGGCAACTTCATGATGGTATCAAATTGAAATAAATAGGAGTGCTAAAATTATAAAACGCTCCAAGCTAATATTTACAATAAATAAATAGCAATCAAAATTGTACATCACATTACATACTTTGAAACGTTAGAAAATGTATAGCCACAATACGGTAAAATACAATGATAAATATTTTCGCAATGGGGACTCCTACTTTATGTTAAATTATCACAACCTATAATCTGAAATACTAATTTAATTAAGAACACATCTTACAGGTATATGATTAAATGCAATTACATTACAATTACATAAATAATTAAAATGAACAATACTTATTAAAATTTATTCATAAAGTTGGAGTAAAATCCCTCATAAACCTACTGAGATCTACTCAGTACAGTGTCGTTCTATTCTAACATGAAAAAAAAAAATCAAAAACGATTTAAAAATATATCACCTATCTAATTTGGCAGTATAGTACCAACAAATTTTGCTACATCTCACCAATCAAGAAACACACTCGCCATAAAAGTAAACTGAAGTAGTGCTTTCCTTGTCAAGCATATTTTTGCTTATTGTACAATAAGTGGTCCATACATAAATAATTCCGACAATATGGGAATATAAACAAGGTAAAAAATGTATATAAAGTTACAGTCTTGACAGGGCCTCTGCCTCCAAGGACTATCACACTTGATGGCATCCACGTTGCAGTCGTTCCACATACATTTCGAACAACAGTTTATTGATATTAAAATAATGTGGATTCTGATTCTCATTCAAATCTGGCGAATACTGAGGGACGTTCCAATCGAGACTTTGTACTGAGCTGGGTGGTGATTCTGGCAGTTGATGAGCGAAATTTGGAGGACCAGGTCCCCACTCAGGAGCTCCGACACGATTGGAGTTTTCAAGCAGGAGACCATTGTTGATGTGGAGGTTGTTGATTCGTTTTGACAGAGGCATGAACTCGACTTCATCCTCTTGGAGACTCCTTCCCCGTTTTCTGAAATTATTTAAAGGGATATTTTAATCAGCTGGACGATAATTAAAGGCGCAAGCGATTATGAGCCTTACGACTAAAGGTGAACTGGAAAATGCAAGGAAAAATGGGTGCGAACGGTGATGTTGCGGTGAAATTTTAACGTGACTTACCTGTTCTGAGTCATTTTAACCTAATTTTTAGCGGTTGTTGGCAGGTATTAATCGGGGACAAGATTTTTGACAAATAGAAAAATTGCAAGAGGACTTCGGTTACATTTGGTTAGAAACTATATCGGCGAATAGGGGTTTTCGTTACTAGGGGTGGTAACGTTGGTATTACAGTTTGCAGAATCGCGGGTACTTTGAATTTTGTTGTTGTTTGACAGTAAATCAGTGCTGCATCAGCATCCACATAAATCAATTATATTGAAAGTGAATGCAAAGCGGAAGTAAAAGTTTATTGTCTGGAAAAATACATGGCAGTGATGTAAGAACACTTGATTTGATTTATGAAAGCGTATATTCGATATTCCATGACTAAATAACTATTGAGGATTTTTTCGTGTTGTTGAATCTAGTATTATAGTTATGTTAAAAACAGGAAGCAGCTAGTACTATAGGCTTTGGGTCAAAGTGATGTTACAAATGCAAATAATTACTTATTGTAGTAATTTTACGCATGCGTAACAGCTTAAGTCCTTTTAGAATTTATGGTGTTATTATTAACAAGTTAAACCACTTATAAAACCATTAATTTGACTTTGAAAATAGTGATAAGCTACGTTGTTAAATAGTAATTTTTAAGTGTTGTGCACAGAAAAGAAGTTGCCACAAAGGCAAGAATAATAAAAGTAAGTGTTACCCTAAAATTTTGTGGCAGTCCCATGCCCAGTTCATGAACATAACCTAATTTATGTATCAAACCATCATAAATTAGGTAGCAGAAAAAAATCTAATCTTTGCGCCAAATTTGTAAAAGTCTGTGTAACATTATTGCATCAGAATTGAAACTATTTGCACTACGTAGATAAATTAATATAAAACTATTTAAAAAAATGACCTTGAATTTAATAAAGAGCGCTAAAAATTCAAATTTTGGCCGCGTGCCTAATATGCCTGATTTAAAACGCGAAAACAAAATGATGTAATATAAATAACTGTTGGTGGGAAGGCATAGTTAATCTTTAAGTTTTATCAACTAAAGTGCTCTCAAATAAATGAACCATATTATCCCATTAGCGACAGCAGAGGTAATTCTCTCGTAACTAGGGGTTTATCAAACACACAACAAACTTGCGTTTTAATGACCTTCGTGTGAAGATTATTGTGCAAACGTTGTGGTGGGACTTCGTTTTATATAAAGGCAAAGCGCGGTTTGTTTCATTTATTAATTTCCAACTTGAAAGATGTACGAAAAAATAAACGGTGAAATCAACTCTTCCGCTGTCCACGTTGTGGACTTGCGAAGCGACACCATCAGCAAACCCACCCCCGAAATGAGGGAGGCGATGGCAAATGCTGTAGTGGGGGATGATGTCTTTGGGGAAGATCCTACTGTGGCCGAGCTGGAAAGACGATCCGCTGAACTTTTGGGAAAAGAAGATGCTCTGTTTGTGTGCAGTGGAACTATGGCCAATTTGATAGCCAGTATGTATAACGCTTTTTTTATTTTTGAATTTATAAACATAGGCAACATTCAAACTTCTTCAAAAAGATATATTTTACTCCTAACTTTTATGTTCATATTTAGATTTACCTTGATACAGATGATGATTTTAAAATACAACGTAACAATAACAGAATTGAAAATTTACTTTTTTCAAAATACATATTTAGAAAATTTAATTTTTTGAAAATATAAAAACAATTATATAAAACTTGTTTGTACTTAAGTACCCTGTACATTTGATTCTTTTGAAAAGACTGGAAGTTATTAGTAATTGTAAAACTAGTTTTCTTATCACTTGGGTAGATACAACTTTTTTTTTATTATTTCTTTTGATTATTATTCGATTCATTTTGCAACACAGATGTTAAATGTCATTTAAGATAATAAAATAATAAACACCTAATGGAAATAAATAACAGTGATTACGGAATTTCCTCACACTACAATAAAAATATAAATATTTTTTGATAAAATAAAAAAAAAGATATTAAAATATGAAATGCCGAATTTTGAAGTATATATTTTTATCATGCTTCTAACAGTTTCTATCTATTGTTTACCATTTGTTATAAATAATATGTTATCAGATCAAATATACTCTTAAGGATCAAATCACTTGACACCTGTGTTGACCACTTAATCATTCGTTAAGTAGGTGCTTAACTTTAAAAAAATTTTGCAAAGTAATGATTTTTGACGTAACGATTTCGCTCATGATAAATTAAGCAATAATTACAAACATGTACATCATCTTTATCAATGGGGATAAAATTTCTTTCATCAGATGTTTGTTTATTTTGAATTTTATTTTGCATATAATTTTTACAGTTCAAAGATAATGAAATAATTTAATAACAATTATTAGAGTTTATTGTACCGAAACCTACTTTTTAAAATAGTAATAAAATTACAGTGATTTTATATAATTTTTTTTTTTCAAGTAATGGTGCACTGCAGTCATAGGGGAAGTGAGATCATTTCAGGAGATAACGGTCACACATTCAGATTCGAACAAGGTATGTATTCATGCATTTGTTCCAGTTTCCCAACCGTATCATTAGTGACTCCACAGTTATGTTATGGAGAATAATATTACACACCTATTTTAATCAGCTTTACTCAGTTACACAATAAAGAAATGTACACGAGTATGCTGGAATGTGAATCGAAACATTTAATTATATCTGCGTTCTACATTTTTACGCATTACTTTACTCTTTACTATAATGTCACTCTTCGTTTTAATTTCTTGATTTGCAAGACAGAAATTCCACTTTTTTATTCAACTTTTACTTGCCTGGAAATACCATTTTTGTACGTTTTACGGGAACGGGAAAGTACGTACTTCAAGTAAAATTTCCGTAATTGTATTTATGGTAAAAATAAAATTGTTTTTGTACCTAAACAGGAAAATACAACATAAAAAGATGCAATAAATGCTTTTGCTTGATTTCAGAAGCAGAAAGTTTTTACCGCTTTAGGATGTTAAAGTGCCTATATAATAATTTTTCTGCTACTTTTACAAAGAGTCCAATAAAATTTTATGATGCTCTAATTAGAAATTATTGACATAATAAAATAGATAATGTTGCTGCAAATTGGCAAATCATGGTCGCGCAGTACAATATTGTTTTGTCAAAATTCTTACGTGTTCTAAACTAATGAAATTTTTAACGTCGTAAATTTTTATTGTTTACGTTCAAAATTTATGTTATGTTAAAGTTGTTTACTTGAGTAATTTTTCTCATTTATTACTGACATTAACAATATTTATAATCTTCTTTTTTGATAAATGCAAGGACCGGTAATTAAAAAATGCCATTCAAAGTGACATTTTCTTTTCTAAATGAATTAAAACAAAAAACTGAATTTTAGGTGGCCCGGCCCAAATAGCTGGCGTGCAGACGTCCCTATTAAAAAACAACGACGATGGAACTTTCAATTTGGACGAACTACGGGACAGTATTCGCAAAAATCCCGATTGTCATGAACCTTACACTTCGCTAGTCATTTTAGAAAACACTCACAATATGTGTGGAGGAAAAGTAAACTTAACACTTAAAATCCGCATCATCTGAATGATTCTTGACATGATTCTAGGTATTACCATTAGATTGGATCGAAAAAGTGAGAAATCTTACAAAAGAGTACAACCTTCCGGTCCACATGGATGGAGCTCGTGTGATGAACGCCGCAGTATATCTTAAAGTACCTGTTGAAAGAGTGGTCAGAGATGTCGATACTGTTTGTTTTTGTTTGAGTAAAGGCCTGGGTGCCCCCATCGGTTCTGTGCTTGCAGGCAGCAAAGCTTTTATTGACAAGTAAATTTTTAAAAATTATGACTAAAACAGAGATAATCGTGGAATTTTTAGATCCAGGAGAATGAGAAAAGTGCTTGGAGGCGGCTGGAGACAAGCTGGAGTTATTGCTGCCGCTGGTTTAGTGGCTTTGGACAAGATGATCGATCGTCTCCAAGTGGATCATGACCACATCATGCAAATCGCAAAAGGTAATTATCTATGTTGTTGTGTCCAAATTGTGTATTTATGTCCTGAGAAAAATTTGAAATAACTTTATTTGAAAAAAAAGTGTAAGTATGCGTGGTATAAACGAATCATTATTTTTACAGCTGTAGACAATTTGAAATCCGACATCTTCAAAGTAGATTTACCATCAGTACATACTAATATTTTGATGATGTATATTGATCGCAGCAAAGTGGCTGTTAAAGAAGTGATTTATCGTTTTGCTAAAGTGTTTAAGACAGATATAGTGAAAGTTAGTGTGAGGGCTTCATCCATTCGACCAGACTGCATTCGCTTTGTTACCTATTGGCAAATAACGGATGAAGACATTCGCGACACTATTGACAGAATCACTTTCGTTATCAAGGAATTTGAAGATCAGTTAAAATCGACGACTATATAATAACCTAAAGCTTTTGTGTCTGTAGACTAACAGTAGAATTAGCAAACTTAGCCTAATTTATTTAACTACACAGGCTTACTCTGTTTTGTTTTATTAATCTGGTAAAAACGTAGAGGTGTGGTTATTGTGTGTTATTTATAATGTATGTTTTAGTTTGCTGTGCTTTTGTAGATTATTAACTGAGCTTGAGAATAGCTCAAAAGATAGCTTTAATTAAGGTCTTATATGTAAATAAATGTGATTCGTATTTGTGTTGATGTTTTGCTTGTGTGATATGAGTCGCATCGTGTACCTCAATTTGGATAAAACAATCTCTGTAATGATCTTACACGTAAATATAAATATTTAACAAAATTTGAATTCTGTTAGTAAATAATAAAGACAACTGAAAATATTTTGTAAAAAAACAATGTGTTGATCATAACATAGTAAAATACTGTTGCGATTTACGGGTATTTAAAATCGGCGTGGGTAAAACTCGATAATTTATTCTTCAATAATACAAATTTATGCGACTAACTACACAGTGATTATAATTCCGATTCTACTTAGACTCTAATTTTTTTTCGTTGACTGGACTAAAACTGACTGATCCCGACAGTGGTCCCTATTTTAATCCATGCGTTCCTGTTTGGATAGTTCGTCGTCATCGCTTCGCGCTCGTTCTGGAGGCGCTTCTTTAGTCGAACGCCGCTCGGCCGCCGTCACCGGTGATGAGTCACCCATCATCGCCATACATACTAGAAAGCCCTCGAGGAAACCCATACCGGGGCGGCGTGTGGGTTTATTTCGTAGCAATATGTACTTTAAATTTAAATTATTAATACATCGCAAATCTAATCTTCACAAATAAGTTCATAAATGTGCTATGCCCACTCGTGGCTGTTTCCAGAATGGAAAATGCTTGGGATAATACCGTTTAATAATGAATTGGTATAAGCTTTTACTGTTATATGTAGCAATTACAGTAGTGCCTTCTGAAATCAGAAAAATATTTTCTATACAACCCGGTGTTTGTTACAAATATCGTACTAAAGAAAATATTCTTCATAGTTCTCCTTTTTTTACAAAATATAAATTAAATCATAATTTGGTACACAGATTACAACCGCTTTTGACAAAAAATTAGTTGGAAACAGTATATCGATTATGACTAAAAATATCGATATGTGATTAAAAAAACTAAATTTAGCAACTCACTGATAAGTATACAACGTAACAATGACGTTACATCATCATGGTTTTGAATTTTTTTTGACATAATCAACCTCTAGCAACAACAGTACTTTTCAGATAGTGATATGGTTCAATTTTTTATGTCTTTCTAAAATGCTGAATAACTCTATTTGATTGATCATTACATAAAATAAAGTATTTATCACACAGTGGAACCGTCAAATTGTCCCAAAAAAATTAAATCCACCCAAATTTTATTTTTTGCATTATTATTCATCATGGCTCATAATACTATAAACTTCTGTTGCCTCACGTTGACAACAGTCTTGCTGTTTTGATGATAGAGATTGCGTCCCTTTTGCCGTTCTATACCGTAGTGAACTTTTATTATCACTTATGGAATAACCCCAGTAACATTTTATATGTAATAAATATTGAAGTTCTGACATTTAAATAATATGGGTAACGACAGATTTTTTTTTTAGAAAATCAATATTGGTTTTAAATATTGAATATATATTTATTTTCAATGTTTAATACTTATTTAGTTCAGAACATTTAATAAATGTTCTTCATATGAAAGGGGGTATGGATATAAAAAAAACTTGTATGGACTACAATATAAAATTTATTAAACACAAAAATACATTGTCACTGGAAATAACAGTGTATTTGAAACGTTGCGGTAATATTTATACATTTAAAAATTATTTGTCCTAGAACCAATTCGTTGAAAATTTGTCCAGGTGATTTTTTTTTAATTTCTGCTGTAGTTACCCATGACACTTATGTCAGCAGTGAAACTGAAACTGCTGACATAAGCTTCATGGGCAACCAGAGCATAAATTTAAAAAATCACGTGATGTGAAACACAATATAAATTTTTTAAACATAAAAATACACTGCCAACTTACAATGAAATAAAAATACATTGTCAATGGAATTAACAGTGTTCTGCTACATTTCAATCGTTATGCAGAAATCTTTATGTAATAATTATTTGCTCTATAACCAATTCATTGAAAAGAGATATAATTAATTAAAATAAAAAAAATCATACCTCATGTTTTTTTCGATGAGAATTCATTCTTGCTTTTGTCTGCGCTTAATGAGGTCCTACCATTTTTTAAATTTCAGTAGGCGTTTTTGTGACGTTTCCGTGTGGTACCTACAATTAAATTAACTTACAAAGTTCGTAATTTTTAAGAAGTCACATAACTTTACATATTGTAGCCTTGTTAATTGTGAATTCACTAAAAGAGCGCTTATTTTTTTCCTTGCCCTGAAAACTTGAAAGCAATTTGGTTGATTATTAATAATTTCTTCAAAATTGCATACATGTTTTTTTACGTCTTCTCTTCCTGGCAAATAAACATTATTATCAGTCTGAAACTAGCTTATAAATACTAGGAGTTAATAATAATAATAATAAATGCTTACCAATTCATCCAATTTCTGCGTATCTCCCGCAAATTTCTAACTTGATTTCTTCTTTTTTTTTTGGTTGCGCCTGGACATTCTTCATTTTGTCTCTACATTCATAATATGCTTATATTCAGAAATATTAAACCTTTTAAATATACTTACGTGTTGAGAAATTGCATTTTCTGCATTGCATGTAGAAGTGAGGTTATGTAGGTTTAGTACTGTTTTCTTGACAAGACGGTATTTACTACACTATTCTGAATTTACCGCACTACCGATAATCACAATTCACAAAAGGACAAACACCATGAACTTACACAAAATACTTTTTGAACCACCAACAATAACAGAAAATATGTATATGTTGCACATTGCGCAAACGCGTTCAAGCAGAGCAAGCGCATCTGTAGGTGAAACGCAAATTTAAGTAAGTTTTATAAAAATGATGAATAAAATTGTTATTTTTTGTTTGCAAAAATAAAAAAAATATTACTTTTTAATAGTGTGCAAAGCGAGATTTCGAATAGTGTCAATTTCACAATAGCTGGTATTTTTTCAAATTAATTTTTAATATTGCTCCAATAAAAACCTTATGAAATAAATTACCTATAAGTTGTCCCAACATGGTACTTTTTTTTTCATTTTTGTTGTTCGGTATCTTGATAAAAAGACATTTCATAAATATGTAATATACAGGGTGTCCCAGAATTCGCGCCATTCCCGTGAATGACATGTTCCCTGTCCCGAACTGTGCCGTAATTCGCAAAAAGAATTGTCCAGGATTTAACCGTGTGAGAACTGGAAGGCGATTAAGTTGACCAATAGAGAGGCTGCTTTTATCTCCGAACGTTTCTATGTTCAAAGTTACCTATGCCAAGAACAAAAAATCGGGTAATACTAAAGTTGAATGAATTTTTTTCCGAATCCCCCTCCGTCAACAAAAGGAAACAGAAATGTGGTTATAAATTTAATCATTTTGACAATTGTTTGTCATAAACTGTCACGAAGTTTATCACTGACCTGAAGAGACGCTTCTGCGCCAAAGATGACTGATTAATGTACACAGAGACATCAAGGTTTACTTTAAGGCAAGTAGCATGGGACAGAAGTTATTTCTGCTGCCATTCTAGTTAAATTGTGTTTAACTGGACTATACATGTCATAAGAGAATCTGTTTCATTTCATCGTAGGCAAATAATACATTTATTACTATTCTACATAGAGTAGCTACCGAAGAGCAGGTATTAGAAGTCATTTTCTTAGAGCCCCGTGAATAATCGTCGGCACCTAGACCAACATGTGTTTCACCGATTGTTACATCGAGCAAGAGAAGATGGATCTTTTCAACCTAGTCGGAAAGGCCGTGCTGGGGCTCTACGGAATGTACGTGTAGGTGCTGAAGAGCAAGTGTTAGAAAACATGGAAGCGGATCCTAGGAGAAGTGTCCTCTACGTAGCGCAAATGAGTGGATGCTCAAGATCGACCACTCATCGTATTCTTCAAGAGAGAAGACTGCATCCTTACCATTACACGAGAGTGCAGCATCTGCGACCAACCGACTACCCGCGACGAGTACATTTTGCTCAATGGTTACTGCGACAAAATGAACTAAACCCTGATTTTACACTGCGCATTCTTTTCACCGACGAATGTTCATTTTCCCGAGAAGGAATGTTTAATGCACACAATTGGCATTTCTGGGCACACGCAAATCCACATCTCACTAGGGTGAGAGCATATCAGGAGCGATTTACTATTAATCTATGGGCTGGAATATATCAATGGTACTACTGTGGTAAAAATTTTAATGCATCTGATAAAATTATCACTAAACTCCGTTCCTGTTTTTTTAAGTGGGGCCGTTTGTGTTACCTGATCGCCTTACATTCTCCATAAATTAACATCATTTCCAAATATTCTTTATACTAGTATGAATAAGACATCAATAACTTAGTGGTATTGGTACTGATTTGTTTATAGTTTGTATTGTTCTTAACAAAAATTGCAACTAAACGATTTTTGTTATAATTTTTATTCGTATCTTTTCAATCTCTAGAAAGTACTCACAACTTTAAAGAAACTGTTTTGAATCATCATGTGCAACATCAATATTATTCTTGAATAAGTCTCAGTTTTCAGTATCTCCCCCACATGATTGACACCACAGCACATACCTATGATCTTAATACACCAGAGAAGTGGAATCTCGTCTCTTTTTTCGTTGCTTAGATTAGGTATCAGCAACAAATCTGTTCAGTAAAAATTGATACTGTTTATTGAAAATCATAAGCACCGATTAATCAAAAGCGATATTTATGTTTTAGTACACTTAATAACGTTCTTTGAATGGACATGTGGTACTCTTTTTTAGAAATAACGATAAACTTAATATCAGGCATATGATGCATAGTGAATTCTGAAAATGTACTAATTTTCGTTAAAAAGAACAACACATTATTCACGGGGCTCTAAGAAAATGACTTCTAATACCTGCTCTTCGGTATCTACACTATGTAGAATAGTAACAAATGTATTACTTGCCTACGATGAAATGAAACAGCTTCTCTTATGACATGTACAGCCCAGTTAAACACAATTTAACTAGAATGGCAGCAGAAATAACTTCTGTCCCATGCTACTTGCCTTAAAGTAAACCTTGACGTCTCTGTGTATATTAATCAGTCATCTTTGGCGCAGAAGCATCTCTTCAGGTCAGTGATGAACTTCGTGACAGTTTATGACAAACAATTGTCAAAATGATTAAATTTATAACCACACTTCTGTTTCCTTTTGTTGACGGAGGGGGATTCGGAAAAAATTCATTCAACTTTAGTATTACCCGATTTTTTGTTCTTGGCATAGGTAACTTTGAACATAGAAACGTTCGGATATAAAAGCAGCCTCTCTATTGGTCAACTTAATCGCCTTCCAGTTCTCACACGGTTAAAGCCTGGACAATTCTTTTTGCGAATTACGGCACAGTTCGGGACAGGGAACATGTCATTCACGGGAATGGCGCGAATTCTGGGACACCCTGTATGTTGAAATTCATATATAAATTTATGAATATAAAATGAATATTATATAAATATTTGTAATATCTAGTCAACATTTAATATTATATCAATCTTGTATAAATATTAGAAAAATATTGCCTGCTACTGGGGAATGTTAATACTTTTGTAAATTAATGTTCACTACAGGTTACGGGATGAGCGCAAAACTTTTCGAACAAACTCTACATAGTTATAATTATTTGTTTTCTCAATATTGTGTCTAATTTTAATTGATTTTGATCAATTTTTTTCTAGGGATAGATGAGATGAAATCAAAAACTTTCCGGGTGGACCTTCCCACAGTTCAGAGCAATATTCTGATGATGTACCTAGATGTGTCTCGGATCACTGCCAAAGAAGTGCAACATCGATTAGCGTCAGTGTTAGAGACAGATGAAATTAAAGTGAGTGTCAAAGCAAGTTCGAGAGATCAGGGATTTGTGCGATTTGTTGCATACTGGAAAATCACTAAAGAAGACGTGGAAGCTGCAGTGAAAAAGATTCAGTTTGTTATTAAGGAATTCGACACTAAATTTAACAATGAAGTTAAAAATGTATAGTAAAATATATTCGACAACTTTTCCCCCTATCGTGGAGAACTGACTTCTTAGGTTATTTTTATTTTTCGTAGACCTGTGTTAATAACGTTAGCATAATGGTGAATCAGCATATATTAAAAAATATGTTAACTTATTGTTTAGGTTTTTTCGATTCTCGTTAGAAAAATTCAAGTATTTTTTTCATTATGTTATTTAAAATGTATTAATAATATTAAATAAAGCATTATATTTAGCACAGTGTTTGTGTATTGTTTTATATGTGACAGTAGTCCTCAATTAATTGCACACATTTTAAAGCGTTTAATACTAATAATTACAGAATAAATTTGTACTTCTTTAACCGCATTTTTTGAATTTATGTTTACTTGCTTCTGAAATAACTGAAGAAATGTGTGGTTCTCAAAAAATAATTTTGAAATAGTTTCGTGTTACCGCTAGTGCCGTTCCCAGGCTCATGCCAATTTTGCAGCCTAATGTAGATCCCTATTTTGAAAATGCACAATATCAAATCAATCGAAACATTCAACATTCTTGCGTAAATCTTAATATAACATTTTATTTATAACAAAACATAGGAATCGTGAAACTGTAAAACATAAAATGTTATTCACCAAACTCTCACCATTTTCATATATAACTGACTCCAATAGGCGGATTTTTAACGAAGTTGAATTTTAGTTGGTTCGGATGTGTGCTTAATGTTCTGTGGTGTGATACCTGCGTGCTTCAAATGTGTGATACGTCCTGATTAACCCGAATTACTTGTTAGGGAAATTTGGTTTTACTAAAATTGGTACCAATGTGTATTTTTTCTGAACAAAAAGTAAGACGCTGTCAAATAATCAGTCAATAAATAAATAAACTCAGATTTAAGAAGATAAATACCTAAAATCTTCAGTAATTAACCGAAAATTTTAGGAATTTTCACATTACTTGAGTATATCAATTGAAGAAACTGAGTGAAAACCAGAACGAATCATTTGATAACGAAAATGTCAGGTTAGTTTTAAAATCATGCTGAAAAAATATTTATCGCTTGTTTGTATGGTTTTTAGAACTGACTGGAGGAGTCGATGTCGAGGACGCCTTTACAGTTTTAGACGAAGTAAATGAAGTACTAGAGGAATTATCCAATCGAGAGACCTCTGTTAAAAATGCTGATGTGTCAGAAGTCGTTGTTAAAGAGGAAAATGAAGATCCTGCAGAAGAAATTCAGCACGTAAATTTAGAAACTATACAAAAAGAGGAAATGAACGAAGAATGTGATGTTGACATGTGTGAGGAAGGTGGTGATGAACAGCAAACATTACAAACTGAAGATAACGGTGCAGAAAATAGTGTGAACGATGACGAGTGTGAGGGTGATGAAGAAGAACCTTGCATTGAACAATCTGACACAGTTGATGACGAACCAACACCTGAATTCAGTGACGAGATTGTAAAACAAGCTGAAGTTAGCGGGAATCTGGACGAAACTGGCAATTTACGCGGTTCCGATGTGTCACAATATGTAGAGGAAGAGGAACTTGAAAAACCAGAAGAAGAATCTGAAAAACCTGAAAGTAATGACACTCACCCATATCTCTACATCATTGAAACTTTTGAGTATGAAAAGGATCAATTAAATCTAACAACAGTGGGAAGTGTAAAAACACTAGAGGAAACTCCGTTTTATATGATTTCGACTAGAACAGGATTAGTCAAACTATTACAATCGTTAAGAAATGTTAAAGAAATTGGTTTAGACATAGTGAGAGCTACAAAAGATTTTGCAGGTACTATTTGCTTAATTTTAATATCGACACGTGATGCCGACTATTGTATAGATGCCTTAAAATTGCATCATGATCTGTTGCTGTTGACGGAAATCTTTATTAATCCAAAAATTTTAAAGATCCTGGTTCGTGCAAAATTTGTATTGACTTACCTGCAACAAAACCTGCATTTGTATGTGATTAACATTTTTGATATTCATCAAGTTAGATCTGCTTTAATGGGAGCTGAGGCTGAGGCTTGGACGCTGAATTCTATATTGAAAAGTGAATATAATTTTGAAAGAGGTCAGCTGAAAAATCCAGATCATCATAGGCGCCCATTGCCCGAAGCCTACAAGACTTACTATAGAGCTGGACCACATTATTTTATTTATATTTACCATGATTATAAAAACAGACTAATTCTTAAAGATGCTGATTTATATAAAACAAAATTGGATGAGTTTAGAAATATGTGCAAAATTGTGTTTTCAGATATGAACTCAGCATCTTACAAGTCATTAGAGGATGAACTGAAAAATCACCACAAATGTGAAGTTGAACTTCTAAAAAAAATATTTGACTGGAGAGCTACTCTTGCACGAAAGAAGAATCTAAAGTGTGAGATGATTCTTCCAAAATCAGGTATATTCAGTCTTGTAAAACAACTTCCTACTGAAGATAATCAGATTACTGCTTGTACAAAGTCTCCTCATATAAAAGGCGATATTGAAAAATTGAAGTTTTTAATAAATGAAGCAAAAATTAAGCACAACATACGACCCAAAAAAATCAGAAATAAGAAGGGATCTTTTTTGGTACCTATGAACGAGTCACCAATGCAAGGAAATTTCCAGCAAAAACGAAAACAACTGAGTTATCAGAATGAAGTACAAATTAAGCACAGACGTATTGAACATGTTAATGGTGGAGCAAAAAATAATTTCCAGTATAAACCAATCAAGAAAAAAGTGAATGAAAAATTTGCATTTAATCAAAATAAGCAAAAACAGTCTCCACAGAACAAAAATGTGAGACATCCAAACCAAACTAGTCTGTATCAAAATAAAAACATAAATGAAAAACCGTGGATGGACAAACAGAATAGTCGAGGCTCATTCTTTGATAATAGCAGGGATTCTTTTAATATGACCACATCGAGTAAAAAAAGGAGTAGATTTCAGCCACCTAATAACAGATACACAGATACAAATGAAAGTGATGATGTAAATGAAGTTTTCTTGAGCCCCACCAGTGTTCCTTCGTCTTTTACATTTCAAACTAATTCATCTAGAAATCATGCAGGTTCGAATAGAAATAATTTTGACAGACAAACTCATGAAATAATGCAAATGGGAAACTTTGCTTCATCTTCAAGGGATATGAGGCAAATGAGTGATAACGACAATGAACAAGAAACGCTGTTTAAATCATTGATTGATTTAAAACAAGTTAGAGATAATATAAGATTACAAACTGAAAATTATGGAGGAAGTTTTAAATCACCAAAGTACCAAGGTCTGAATACCATTGACCATAAAATTAATAACTTAGAAAGACGACTTCAACAAAAACAATCAAGAAATCGCCGTGGAAATCATGGTGGAAACAGTAACGCCCCGTATACGCGACGTTATTAATATCTGTTTAAAAGTATGGAATAATATTTACCTTTATTGTATGTAATAAGTAGCTGTTTAATAAGTTACAAGTAACTAAAACTGTGTTTTTTTGCATTTGTTCAAAATGCGTCAAATATACATTATTTCAAAATACTTGTAGATATATATACCAATGTACAACCACAGTATACAATCATGTAATGAAGGTTATAAACAGCCATTATTACAACATACTTTTATAAACAAAAATTCACTTAAAAAGTTTAATGTTTAAATCCTTGTGTTTCAGTGCACTTAATTCTACATGTGAAAAGCGATAGTCGCAAAATGAGAAAACATTTTTATCAGACATTAAAAGATTCTATTTCTACAATTAAAACAGGGCTTTTCCATTGATGGCATCGGTTAGTTTTTAAATCGGTTCACATCATTTACTTATTGTTTAAATCTATAATTTACTTTTATAAAAATTGTTATTTGTGGAAATTGAGTTGATCGGCGGACATATTTAGCAAAATTGCTGCCGAGAATTGTCAATTATTATTTATATTATATAGAAGATTTAATTTACAATAAAAAATATCTACTGTACAACACAACCGACTTCAAAAAATTTACCTAATATGTAATATAACTAAAACGGTTACAAGTAACTAAAGATGTCGCGATCATCTATCATCATTAACTAAATTGTGTTTTTTGATAATGTGATGTAATTCTGTGACGTTAGTGATAAATGAATGAAAAACAAATTTTGGTTAGTGTTCTATCCTCTCCATTATTTCTATATGTAGTTTCAAAATAATGGGTGTGGTAGTACAGATTATCTGTAGTAAGGTAGAATAGACGGACGCGGTTGATACACACAGGCAGACGAAAACTGTAAGAAACATTCAAATTGGTAATCAAAATGAAGGTATAACAATACTGCTGTGGTTATTGTTGAAAGTTACAATAAAAAAAAAAATAATCAGAGTTCAAACATGAAAAAGTGACTCGAGTATTTTAAATGTTTTTTAAATCGGCTTGTGTTTTAAGAACCATTTTGAGAACTTTACTTTCTGTTGTTGAACTGTGATACTAATAAATTTTCAGAAAAACAAAAGTGATATAATAATAATCAAAAAAGGTGTTTTTACCTGGAGTTATAAGTTTTTTCAGTATCACTCGCATTAGGTATTTCAAAAATTGTACAGGTGTTTTTATTTTAAACCTGCTGCCAATAAGAACTTGGATAGTGGCTCTCCCTCCTTTTTTCTTGTAAACAACGTCAACAGTAGTCTGGACAGTGCGATTACGTTAAAGCAAAATAGCCCACCCCAGAATAAACGGTGGGTTGGTCTGAGTAATAATAAAAATCAATAATAAAAAAATTTATCTTACAGTAGTAGGTTTTGGACTACTTTATTCAACAATTTTATTTCTCACGTTTTCATTGGAACAGTAAGAAATGGGATTAGCTAAACCTGCTGTGGGAAAATTTTGGGATACATTTTAATACGTCAGTATTTGTTTAAAAAGTATAATTTTTAGCAGGAACTACATACATACATATTTAAATCATAAAGTATATTATACATGGGAAAAACATTTCGCTAAAAAAAATAAAAATAACTGTTTACAGTTTAAGAACAATACAGGTATGTATACGTTTAACAGATGCTACAAAATATACTATACTAAACTAAACACTATCGAACATAAATAAAAAAAATAACTTCCAATTTTCACAACAATTAAGAGTGTGCTTACGAATGACATCTATTCTTTACTGGTATAAAAGGAGAAAAACAGTACAATGTATTCAGATTTTCCATAAAATTATTACATAGGGGTCATACGTATAAAATAAAAAAAATGGTCGAATTTTATTTCGACAGAACTCCCTTCGCGCTTGAAGTACAACTCCAACAAATAACCCACAATCGAACAAAGTGTTCTGAAAGTTGTTATTATAATTCTTATTAAATACAGATATTATACTTTGCAAATGTTTTTGAGAAAATTTGGACGTTTAAGGAAAAATTCAAAGTGGAATCGTGCACCACAGGTATAGGCGTATATTATTGTAACATATTAAAACAAAATGACGTCATCAAATTCTTGGTGGGAATGATTAGCCAAATTTTGGTTAGCGTTTTATCGTCTACATAATATTCCTAACATGTACAAAATTTGACAACAATCGGTACAGTTATTTCGAAAGTTAGTTATCTAATAATATTAATAAAAATTGATACAGACGCCAAACAGACAGACGGAAATGGGAGACTACTTTTTTCGTACTCTTGGGGTCATGAAATGTTGAGAAAACAAAAATGGCCATTCGTTCGATGAATTCGATTACTATACTATGTTACTATACCTATAGAAATTTGGTAAAAATTTGAAAAAAATTAGTTTTGTAGTTTCGAAAATAATTTATAAAATTTACTCATATATTTTTTTAGCCACAAATATAATGTTACTATTTTAATCTTTCAATGTTTTTAATTTACTCTTTGCAGATACAGTTTTTTCTTGAGACGATGATAAAAACGTCGGTCTATTTAATTTAGTAATAATTAAATACTCTATAATATATTTTTTGTGTTGAACGCTGAACGCAGTTAGCATTGTCGTATATCCAATTTTTTCAATGGCTTTACAAATCCGGTGACGTAGTTGCTTTTCATAATAATGCATTTTAAAACATTCATTGTGAATCTGAATAAATTTGTTAAATATTGCGACGAACTCCTTTTTAGCTCTTTTTAAGTATTTTATAGGGTTCTTTATATTCTTATGTTGTTTATTTAAAATTAATATTTCATTTTTATCGTTCATTTCTTCATCGCCCTTTAATAAATTATTTACACATGTTTCACATTTAAATTTTTTTAAACAACAGTGAGCTAAGTACCTTGCAAAATATACAAGTGAAAGGTGAATTTTCACCTAATAAAAGTGAATAGAATGATGTGATGTGGGTGATACAGCCTGAGCATTATCTGTGTTTAAATTAACACAATATGAAGCAAATTCGCCACCTTCATTATTAAAAAAATCAATCTCTTTGTCTTCGTCATTTTCACAGTTAGTAGTGTTTTCGTTTCCTTTAATCAAAGAAGATGACATAGTATTTTGTAGACCTAAACGAAAATGTTGTGCGGAAGGTTTTAAATCATAGCCTCGACGTTGCAGAACTTGTGAGCATAGGTTTTCAAGAGGATCTTGATTTAATTTAGAGGTTACCAAAATAGGATATTTATCTTTCGTGTCCATCCATAGAGATAACACGACATTAATACTTTGAATTAGTCCTTGGAAGCAGTACGGGGTATTTTTACCTACTTTCGAAGATTGTATCCACGGAACAGCTTTTTGAATTGTGCCTATGACGTGAATACTTTTTTCAGATAGACCCCAGCGCATTGGATTTCCATCAAAACAACGACGCGAATTTAAACAGTCAAGAACATCATTAATTCGTCGAATAAAATTAGCTGCGTTTTTGGCAGTATTAGACGTTAACTGACGTGTTGAAATAGCAGTGTCCATAGCATTTGCAACACTCTTACTAAAAATTTGGACAGCATACCGAACTTTCATTTTTTCAAAATTATCAGGATTTATGTGGCTATTAGTAATTTTTAACAAACTGCGAGATATTTGACTGCTTTCATCAATGTGGTAAACTTGTGTAATATTTTTCCAAGAAACTGCTTCTCCATTTACAATTATATCTCTCTTCAGTAAAGAGTTGCGGATAGATTTAATTAGGTGGGGAACATCATACATAACATATACGAGTATTTTTCTACTGTCAAAATAAAAATATGGTGACTCAGCAGATACTTCTAGTTGACTATAAGCTCCTCTGTTATTAGTTCCTTGATCTGATGCCACTACTTTTACTGTTAAACTAATTGACGCTGTTATTAATTTTTTTAATAGGTCACCTTTTGTAGGCCCACAAGAAATGAAAAAACAAAACGGTACCTTCCAGCTGCTGTACAGGCCTCGTAACATAAAAACTAAAGCCTCATTTCCCATTAAACCTGATCTACCTAACTGCCCAAAATCTTGGAAACCTTTAAATATATCTAGCTAAGTGCTTGTTATAACTTGCTCTTTTTTTATTCGCATTTCATCAACAAGTAAAACACATTCTCGTTCCTGCTCGCTGAAATGTTCAAATTTGAATTTGAATTTCTTGAAATAACTCCCGCAAAAACCTGCTTCTAGATAAATGACGCGTAACCATTTTCTGATTGTTGTTATACCAGGTAAAACAAAATTTAAACTATGTCGCATAAAGTTATAACATGAGGGGGACTTGTAATATAACGAAACAGCATACGTTTTTCGTGTAGACTCCATACTGTTTTCTTTTTATGAAAGAGCTGCATATTTAAAAATGTTTTTAAAAAAGGTCCTTTATCAGCCAGAACTTGCCTCCGCTAATCAAATTTTGATTTTGTAATCTTCTATTCTTAGCTTTTTCTTGTTTATTTTTTTTGTTTTTTAATAGATTTTTTTTCGTAAAGTCTGTTTTGTTGAGTTATTTGCAATAAGGGTTTTGCAAGCGGTGACTCTAAATTAAATTCATGAAAATTTGGCTTATTTTTTTTTGTTGGAGTCAATGATTCGTCGTTACTTTCAGAAAATGTTAATTTCCTTTTTACCTTTTTAGTCGTCCGTTCATAAGTTCTTGTTACTAAGGACGTATCAAAGTGTAATACAGCCAGCGACACTGCATTCGCTGAAGGAAGATCAGAACTTGTTTCCTGTAAAAGTAAATTTTAAATAGTTGATTTAATAAACTTAACTGTCTTTAATTTATACGCACCCCTGTTTGCATTGAAGTCCCTTCTGTTGTAGCGTTATTTGTAGTATTTTAATTTTGAAAATGAAGAGGAACAGCAGATGACAATAACCGATGCTGAGCTTGATTATAAAATGAATGTTTAGCAAAATGAGCTTCGTATATACACATCTGTTTTAGTTGTTCGGGTGGAACATCTAAATATAAAAAATATACAGTTAGTTTGTTGCATATATTTTCTTATTCAAAACAGTTGTAGTGTACACTTACCTAACAATTTTAAGTTTCCAGAGTTGATAATCCACTGTTCACATCTCTCGCATCTTTTATGGGAAATGAAAAAAAAACGAAAATTGCTTCGTTTCTTCAAAATATTGCAACCGAAATAATTGCAACGCGTATACGACATGGTTTTAACAATTTAACACTGCGAAACTTCGGAAGAAAATGATGAGAAAAGAAAGACGTTATTGCCCCCACTGACTGAAATTTGAAAAACAGAATCTCAAAACCCGGTTTTTAGTACGTATCATAAACGCGGTCGTGCTGCCACTCATTGAAGTGATTAGGATGGTTGTAATCTTTATCACTCTAACTGACTGCGTACTAACTGAATAGTACGTGGCATTCGGCCCAAATTTATGGCGTCTATAAGCTGTGGTGGGGGTTTATTGAGCGCTTGAGGCGTTCAACTTATTGTGACAGCTACTATACAGGTATAAGGAGAATTTGTTAATCCTATTAAGTTTATTACTAGGAAAGGGAGGCGGGGAAAACACAAAATAATGCTGTTTACAAAGATATTGCTGGCAGATTTTCAAGAAAGACATTATCGACAAATTTTCAAAAGAAGATAGTGCTCACAGGCGTTTCTAATTTGCAGACCACAGTTTATCTTGCAGACTAGGGGTTAAAAATGCTCCAATCACGTTAAAACTCGACATTTGCTTATTTCTCAATACGAAGATTGTTGATAAAAAATTTCAACCCGTTCGGACAAAGCGTTAAAAACTACCCCTAAAACAACCTTGCAGACTAGGGCTTAAAAATACTCTAACTACATCAAAATTTGACATTCGCTAGTTTCTCAATACGAGGATTATTCATCAAAATTTCACCCCATTCGGAGAAACCCTCAAAAATCACCCCCAAAACAATCTTGCAGACTGGGGGTTAAAAATGCTTGAATCAAGTTAAAACTCGATATTTGCTTATTTCTCAATACCAAGATTGTTGATCCAAAATTTCAATCCGTTCGGAGAAACCGTTAAAAACTACCTCCACAACAAACTTGCAGACTAGAGCCTAAAAATACTCGAATCAAGTCAAAATTTGACATTCGCTAGTTTTTCAATACGGGGATTATTGATGCAAAATTTCCGCCTATTCGGTTAAAAATACTCCCGTCAAGTAAAAACTCGACATTTGCTTATTTATCAAAACCAGGATTGTTGACACAAAATTTCAACACATTCGGAGAAATCTTTAAAAGAAACAGACTAGGGATTAAAACAGCGTCGGACTGGCTCGCCCGGCTACCCGGCGATCGCCCTAAAAGCTCAGGGTCCCTAACGAATCATTTCAAAAAATTATGTTATTATTTAAATTTAATTTAGTTTTTTTCAATTTATTTTTTTATTATTTTATTGTTAATTATTAATTAATTTATTAATATTTAAATTTAAAAAATATATAAATTACGAATATAGGAGTATTTGTTATAGATACGTGAATTGCGATAATTTGAGTTCATGTTTATGACTGTTAGACAATAATCAGCTGCTACTATGTAAGAATGCATAAGTTCGACATTTTTTCGTCCAGTCTCTCATTTTAGGGTGTGTTTTTACACGTCATTTTTGCTGTTAACTTGGTTCATGCAGTACATATTATTATGCTGGTTTTGAGTTCTTTGAGGTATAATTAAACTTTCATCATCAGTCAAAAAATACAAAGTGGTGTCCAGAAGAGAAAATTTAAAATTCATAGGGAACAAAATCTTAAAGATATTTTAAAGAAAATTAGAGACATTTTTAATTTCTGAGAAACCTAACGTAAAAAAAAGCGTTTTGAGAGAAAGTTTAAATTAATAATAGGAAGCTCAAACTTAATTTTATTTGAATTTCAAAAAGAACCCAGAAAAGTGCTAATTTCTTAATTAATTATATTATTAATGGGAAAACAGATAAAGATCCGTTATATTCAATACGACGTAAAATTGTCTTCATATGTAGGTCTTACAGCCTTTGGATGGTGTCCACGTCCATTTCTCTAACTTTCTGGTAATTTGTTCTTCTAAATTGGCTTACCAGCAGTTGTTGTGAACCTTTCTACTTAGTATTGCCCAAATTTTGTTTTCGATTGTTCGCACTGGGGGCACTATGGGGGGATTATCTTAGGTATCAAAATTTATATTATTTCTTTCTAACCAATCCCTGGACATTGTAATATAATGGCATCTTGCTAAATCTGGCCAAAATATTACATCGTCGTTATTATGGTGTTCCCATATATTGTTATGTATTGACCGCGTCACTTCTAATACGGCCAATGAATGGTGCTCAACCGCCAGCCGAAAATATAGCCCATCAAACCAAAATTTTATCTTCAAACTTTGTCTTCGACTTAATTTTATTTGTAGTTTCTTCTATATTGTTTGTATAAAATGCATCGTTCCTTCTCTGAATAGGCAAACGTAATAGTTATTTTCATCGCCTAGCACAACCACACGATTGTCCAAAAAATTATGAATTCTCAATAGCCGCCAACATCTGAGAATTCTCTCTAACTGCGATGCTGTATGTTTTGAACATTTAGCTCTTTTGCTGTCTCTCAAATTGTCGCTCTGTTTCTGTTATTTTGTTAAATTAAATTTAATTCTGTGTTTATTTGTCTTCTTTTTTTGCTAATTTATACATCATGTGTCAATAGTGTATCTTCCTTCCTCTCATTCTACCTGTATGGTGCGCACCTACTTTAGAAATATGTACTGTCTCTTTACATGTGTCTAAAGTTTTTCTGCTACTTGTACTTTAATGAAATAACGATCACTAGTTAAATTAATAGTTTTTAAAGTTTGGTTTTGCGAAAATTTTCAGGGTGGCCGGTTTTTTTGCCGGTCAGTGTATATGCATTAAAATAAAGTTATAAAAGGTAACAAAACAATACTTTTCATAATTAACAATGCATATTAAGATCATTAGGTGATGCCGCAGTTGTTGTAGGAATTGGCTCGCTTTGCGCGAAGGTGGAGATAACACGACGACCGTAGCAACGAAACTTAACCAATTAAAAATTCAAGTATGAAATTATTTTTGTTTTATGTCTAGTATCCCGCAAACGCTTTCGAGCACGCCACTGGAACAACCAGTTTCTCGGAGGACCTGGAAGAACCACTTATGACATTAGTAGAAAGCGCGGTACCAGGCATTTTTTCAAACTATCTTCCTTCCTCTCATTCTACCTGTATGGTGCGCACCTACTTTAGAAATATGTACTGTCTCTTTACATGTGTCTAAAGTTTTTCTGCTACTTGTACTTTAAATGAATGTGAACTATCAATCATTTTTATAAGTTGCTTCAAGGTGACTAAAATTTAACATGATAATTTTTTGTGTAAAGAACTCAGCAAGTGGTAACTTTCGACTCAATTGGAATATTTTTAAGCTCCATTATGAAAGATTGCTTTGGGGTACTTGTTAAGAGCAGCTTAAAAAAGGCTGTTTTTTTTGTATTATCACTTCTCGTATAGGTAAAAACTAAACACTAAGTTTCGATTTGGTTATAATATTGTTAAGGCCCAGTCTACAAGGTTGTTTTGGAGGTAGTTTTTGAGGGTTTCTTCAAATAGGCTGAAATTTTGTATCGATAATCCCCGTATTGAGAGACTAGCGAAAATAAAATTTTGACTTAATTGGAGTATTTTTAAGCCGCAGTCTGCAAGGTTGTTTTGGGGGTAGTTTTCAACGATTTCTCCGAATGGGTTGAAATTTTGTATCAACAATCTTCGTATTGAGAAATAAGGAAATATCGAGTTTTGACTTGATTGAAGCATTTTTAGCCCCCCTCAGCAAGGTTGTTTTGGGGGTGATTTTTGAGGGTTTCTTCGAATAGGCTGAAATTTTGTATCGATAATCCTCGTATTGAGAAACTAGCGAATATTAAATTTTGACTTGATTAGAGTATTTTTAACCCCTAGTCTGCAAGATAAACTGTGGTCTGCAAATTAGACAGGCCCTAGTGCCCACAAATACATAGTCACTGCTTAGGGGTATTTTTTGTTTTTCAAATTTTGCTAATGTTACACCAATTAATTCGTAGGTAGTTGTTATTTATGAAACTTAAGTTCTGATTTAATTTAGGACTATTTAAAATCTTTTACCTTCCTTGATTGTTGCAAATGAACTATCATCTAATTTTTACATGATTTCTTTCATCTCACAGGGATATTTGAAATAAAATAAAAGTGCGTCAAGCCATGTACCCCATCGTATAATAACAGGTTTAGAAGGCAATGGACATCTGGTAGAGTGCATCTTTATATACTTGTAGGCTTAAAAAGCAGCATTAACAAAAACTTTTTTCATATTTTTAATTAATTAATTTACTTACCAATGGAAATAGATTTTGTACTGCGTCCACTATTCTGTTCACACCGTGTAATGTAAGTGTAATGAATCAAATTTGGATAAAATACTTTTAAGTGGGTTCTAGCTTTGACCATATATGACGCAGCATTAGAAAGCATTAATATTTATTAATATGTTTTTATTCAATGGTACAGTATTTAATTAATTTTTTTTATTAAAAAATAATTTTATAAACTATAAATTTTGAGTTTGGCTGTTCACACTAAAAAAACCCACATAGAACATCGGCCCATTAGCTCAGTTGGTTAGAGCGTCGTGCTAATAACGCGAAGGTCGCGGGTTCGATCCCCTCATGGGCCAGCTTTTTTATTTCTCAAATTCCGATTGGTATTGTTTATACAATGTTTAGTTTTTTTTTTTTTTCTAAAAAAATAGATCTATGTGAATGTACTTCAAAGGTGAGTGAAATTCTTTTTAATAATCTTAGCCCATTTTTTTAAATAGTTATTGCTATTAATTTAGGAGCGCCACTTTTTGAAATATGACATATGTAACGAAGTTGACAGACACTACAAACTAGTACAAACGCATGCGCTTTGGTCTTTTCCGGCTGTCGCGTGAACAGAAAAGCCAGGTTGTGTCCGATTTTATTGTTGAACATATTGTTTATTCATTTACATTCAAATGACTATGACCGACGGGCAAGTGAGTGAAGTGCCCAAGTTTGTGGCACCCGTAATTCAGGACAACCCCACGGGATGGGGTCCTTGCGAAATGCCTGATCAGTTCAGAGACATGCCCTACCAGCCCTTCAGCAAAGGAGATCGTCTCGGCAAAATAAGCGACTGGACCGGGGCTGCCTTCCAAGACAAAAAATACGCCAGTAAGTACATCTGAAATCTGTGTACGTTCACTGTGAGCGGGCACCATATGTCAATTTTTGAGGTTATATTAAGTGTAATTATTTTCTAGACAAGTACGCGTCGCAGTTCGGATCTGGTAGTCAGTACGCTTACTATCATGATGAAGATGAAAGCACTTTCCACTTGGTTGATACAACACGGGTGCAGAAGCCACCCTATCAACGAGGCAGATTCCGGGCCAACCAACGCAACTTGCGAGGGCGTGGAGGCCGTTCAGGAGTGCAAGGGGGAGGTATGCAGTCGCTTGGAAAGGGAGTTAAAGCGCGCGATACGTACAAGAGGAGTCAAGTTAAAAAATGGGGACAAGGAAGGGTAAGAAAAGTCGTGTTAGGTATTTGTCAAGTTCTGAAAGTGATTTTTCAGCCTCAAATTAAAATTCGGGATGCATCAGTTACTGTCAGACCAGATTGGGTTACTATTGAAGAAATGGATTTTCCTCGTTTGGGAAAATTGTCATTGCCAAGTATCAAAGATGGTATGTTGAATCAAGGTGTTATAATTACAAATATTAAATATGAATGTACCAAATACTGTTACCAAAAGGTAATGTTGGCAACACAATTTATGGAGTTTTGTGTCTTAAAGAACAGTTGGCTCAGATTGATGAGAACTTTTGAACATACAGATTAAAATTTTATTAATATACAAAAACAATGTGCAAAAGTCTAGTTATCTTATACATGTGTTCTGAAAGAAGTGTTCAAATTTTGGGGATGACGATGTGATTAATTATTTAATAATAATTACTTGTAAAATATGCATATGTTAACTATAACTATATAACTGTAATTATAATTAACTATAAATTCAGGTCTTTGTGCAAATAACTGCTAACCAGTAATCAAGTTTGATTTAGTTTTATGGACATTATGATACATTTTGCATGATTAGAGTTAAAATAATGTGAGAATTGGACAGTTAAATTAAATGCTGCACACATTAGTTGGTAAGTAGAGCCTAAACTTCAGTTTTCCCTTTAAAATTGAAATTCAGTTGTAGAGTTCCCAATATGTATTAGTCGTTATCATAGTTATGGTTTTCAGTATTTTTACTTAACGAGCGTAAGCTAAGGATGTATTGTAATAGGGTCCATCAGGTGACTGGCTAGTTTCATATTTCGTCGACGTTTCATGGCCTTTGGTGTACAAAAAAATAGGCCTATCAACAATTTGATTACGTCCCTTCAAATTTTAATAATAATAGATACATTCGAAAAAAAAAATATTACTCCGTGACCATAACCACGCTATATTTTTGGAATCAACACGTCGGGATCTATATCCGTGAATTTAATCAGAATTTTTAGATAACTTTTTCAAAAATGAAATTTCCCATTATGTATTCCTATTATCTCCCTTATGCAAATTTCGACCGATTCTCGACGATTTTCGAAATTTAACAAAATACTTCCATGTAGATTTTGGGCCACAGATGTCACTTCTGGCTTCATTTCTTCGATAACTTAAACCGTTTTTCCAGAATCGTCCATTGAATTATCGCAATTTTCAAAAATTTCAAAAAATTGGAATTTCACATCGAATTTTCCGAAAATATTGCTCCGTTACCATAAACATGCTATATTCTGGAATCAGCACGTCGGTATATATATATCTCTGAATTTTTTCAGAATATTTAGACAACTTTTTCAAAAATGAAATTTTATGCTGTGTTAGTACTTGCCAAATAACCTACCCTCTAAGAAAATAAAAGGCGGGTGGGCCAGGCTAGTATTTGCCAAAATAAGACTCATTTTGACAAATGACCTACTCTTCGAAGGAAAGTTACTAGCCCCGCCCACCCACCCTTTATTTTCTTAGAAGAGTAGGTCATCTGCCAAAATCAATCTTATCCTGGCAAGTATGAGACTGATTTTTGCAATTGACATATCCTCAAAGAAAATAAGGGTGGGTGGGCGGGGCTAGTACTTGTTAATATAAGACTGATTTTGGCAGATGACCCACTCTTCTAAAAAAATAAAGGGTGGGTGGGCGGGGCTAGTACCTTTTCTTAGGTGAGTAGGTCATTTGCCAAAATGAGTCTTATTTTGGCAGATACTAGCCTGGCCCGCCCGCCTTTTATTTTCTTAGAGGGTAGGTTATTTGGCAAGTATGTACTAGCAAATTTCGACCCATTTTTGACGATTTTCGAAATTTAACTAAATACTTTTTCTTGTAGATTTCGGGGCACAGAAGTCAGTTCCAACCTCATTTCTTTAATAACTGCAACCTTTTTTCCAGAATTAGTTAATTAATATAGTGCATTGAAATATCACAATTTTTAAAAATTTCAAAAAATTCGATACGACACGTACGGAAAGATCTTGCGTCATTTTTGCAAGTAGGTGCATGTTTTCAAGTTCAGTTCGGATTGCAGAGTTTTTGTTCGGATTAAAGAGATATCGAATTCAACAAGCTTCTGTTGGGATTACTGGATGTTCGGATAATCGTGGGTTCGGATTATAGAGGTTATACTGTATATAATTTTAGTCGTTTCCTCTGTTTTGAGGAGACACAACCATTCAAATTCTTCCGCTTAGTCTGGTTATAACCAGATGACTCGCATTCTTTTGATGTATAAACATTAACAATAGAAGTTGAGTATGTACTGACAGTACATGTTTTCTATTGGTTATAGGTTATAATGAAAAAGCTGTATTTGTTCGACTGTATTTTCGAGGCGAGGGAAGTTTTCTCCAAATAACTTTAGATATATTTTTTTTATTATTATTATTTAAACTATTGGTTTAGATACATATTTAGGTTAAAAAAGCTGAAACATTGACCACTATTGTCAGATTCATTCTGAACAATTTTTGAGTTTTTTTTGATTGTCCAATAAAAATCGACACAAATAGACGACATATAGACAGACAAACAGACAGACAACAAATTGATAGAAACGGGAGACCTACTATTTCGTACTCTAAGAGGTCCGGAAAACATTAAAGTCCTTTGATGAACACTGTTACATTACTTAGCTTACGTTCGGGAAATAAAAATAGGAGTGTTTAGAATTGCAGAATCGCATATTCATATTTCTCGTTTTTTGTACCATATACTCTTGAATGAATTGTCTGTTTACGTTCTAATTTCTTATAGGTGACGATACAATCTGTTGTGGTGAACTAGAGTATTACGATAAATCATATGATCGTGTTAATGTGAAGAACGAAAAGCCGCTGCAGAGCGTTAATCGCATTTTCCACACGGTTAGTTATAGTTGTAGCAACTGATTCATTGATTTTCACCATACTTTTGTAGGTTACAACTACTGACGATCCTATTATTCGTAAACTGAGTAAAACTGAAGGGAATGTGTTCACAACTGATGCTATTCTTGCAACTATAATGTGTTGCACCCGGTCGAATTACTCCTGGGATATTGTTATCGAAAAAATTGGTATAGTCCTCAATGAAACTCCAGTAACATCAACTTTAACCAATCATTTTAGGCGATAAGTTGTTCTTTGATAAGAGAGACAACACCGAATTTGATTTATTAACCGTTAACGAAACTTCCGTTGAACCACCACAGGATGATGGCAATTCGCTAAATTCCCCACGGAATTTAGCCCTGGAGGCCACTTTCATCAACCACAATTTTAGCCAACAGGTTGGTGTTTATAATTCAACAGAGAAATGTAAACTTTTCGTTTTTAATTAAATAGGTTTTGAGAACGGGAACCGGAGAACCTCGCTACAAATTTGATAACCCCAATCCTTTCATTTCTGAGGAAGAAGAAGGTGAAGTGGCTAGTGTAGCATACAGATATAGAAAATGGGATTTGGGAGGTGGAATTGTGAGTATTTTTGTTTTTTAATTGTTTAGTGTTTTATGTTTGTTTTTTTCGTGTGAAGGTTCTTGTTGTTCGTTGTGAGCACGATGCAGTCGTTCAGTCACCGAATGGAGAACTACAATTTCTCACTATCAAAGCCTTGAATGAGTGGGACTCTAAACTGGCCAATGGCGTTGAGTGGCGTCAAAAATTGGACACTCAACGAGGTGCGGTATTGGCTAATGAGCTGCGTAATAATGCCTGCAAGTTAGCGAAGTGGACAGTGCAGGCATTGTTGGCAGGAAGCGACCAAATTAAATTTGGTTACGTTTCGCGTGCTCACGTACGTGATAATAGTAAGCATGTAATCTTGGGAACACAACAGTATAAGCCACATGAGTTTGCAACTCAGATTAATTTGAATATGGATAATGCCTGGGGCATTTTACGTTGCATTGTTGACATCGTGATGAAGCAGAAAGATGGAAAGTATTTGATTATGAAAGATCCAAATAAGCCCATGATTCGTCTGTACGATATACCAGATAATACATTTGAATCTGATGGAGAATCTGAATCCGAAGATGACGTTGCTCCAGATTCTGTTACTTTCCAGACTTTGTATCCCTATGCAAACACCTCGAAACGTTAGACTTTTTTTTGTAATTTTCTATCATATGTGCTACCAGTTTAGGAAAGGCTAATAAATATGTATCAGATATTGGTTTCGTTTTTATTGAATATTTCTAACCTCTGAAGGATTTTTACAAGTATTGCAGTACAGTTACTTGTTATATGGTATGGTTTTTCGAAAGAGACCGCGCCGTTTAATTTTTTACTTACTGAGCGTAAGCAAAGGAAGTATTGTAATCGAGTTCGTCGGCCGACTCTGAAAGGAAAATCATCACTCTGGATGTGGGCCGAGTTCCGCTTTTGCCACTCGAATTCAATGAAGCAAAATAAATGAGTTAAAACTACGTCGTGAATCGAATTCCCCCATCACATACATACATAAAACACGTGTTAAATCTGGTCGAAAACACATAATGTCGTTTGGTACACGCGTCGCTTTGAAAAGCGTATCTGAGTATAAACGTTTTAAAATTGAAGTCATAGAACACATAAAATATAACACAAAATCAGCATAAAGTCAATTACCTTTTCGAATTCATGACTACATTTACTTCACTGCTAATTTTCAAAGAGAATCAATGCTGTGATAACCCAATCTTCCCGCCTTGAAATTTGACCTTGAAAACAGTTTGAAAGGCCCGCAAAAAATTTAAAAAAATCAAAGTTTGGCCTTGGCTGTGATCGTCTAACCAATGAGAACCTACGTTGTGTGTTTTTTTTTTTGTTTTTGAAAAATGGCGGGAAGACGTTCTTTCATACAAGTGCATACTCTGTCGAGAGCGCAAGAAATAATAGACAAAAATTGTTTTGGAGGGGGGGAAACGGCACCACCCTCACAGGGGGAAATACGCTGCGAAGATTTACCCCTCAGCGCAAAAACCCCCTTGGTTTTTATTCCCGGACGACATATTATTACATTTCAAACACCTTAAGATATGTGAAAGAAAAACACTCGCGAATTCACTGAAAGAAAAACACTCGCGAATTGACTGGAAGAAAAACACTCGCGAATTTACAGACATACACATATGAAAAACGAACAAATGGAAAATTCTATAAATCTGTTTGGAATCAATGCAAATATTTGAATATCATAAGTTTAATAAACAAAGCAAAAACTGAATCAAGTAACTGGATGCAAATACACAAGTTATTACAGGCGTGTGGCGGCCGACCTCTTTTCCCCTTTTTTTTTGTTACGGCAGTTAACAGGAGCACAAGAAAAGTACCCCTGGAGCGTTGTGGCATAAGCGGAGTCTAAGCTACCGGTCTGGAACTGTTCTCCCCCCGCGACGATGATTCTATCTATCGCAAAGCCTACCCCACACGCATATCCCATGACGAACTTTGCCCTGCGGAACTAGGCCATTACGGTCGTCCAACCCGCAAGAGATCTAAGCTATGTACAGGAGCTGAGAAATTTACAACGTCGGCGGCCGCCCCCTGAATCTATCCAAACCTGTGGACTTGTACAGGTGGCGCGATAAATCTCGCCAGCTCGACTAGGAACCAAACCTCGCTTCTGCCACGTTTTCTGTGTCATTTAACCTCAATTCCATTTTAAAACATTCAATCTCTTATAACTCTGATGTTAACAACAACTGAACAAGTGTTAAAGTTTCAAAGAGCAAAAAAAAACATTTAAATTCGCCATACAATCTTGTGAAATCTTAAACAACAAATAATTCTCATGTGGGATTAAAGTTGGACATCAAATAATTTATATGATAGAAAACATTCATCAACAAAGTATTTACAAAACAAAACTTAGCAAGGATTTATGAGACGAAAGATCTGGTGTGAAATAAACTTGTACCAATAGAAATGTTATGTGAGGTTAGAACTGTGGAACATGAAATTTACGTTCAATTAAATTTATACAACAAATAAAATTACTGAGGTTAAAATTGTGAGATTAAAGAAATATTGTATGATGTGAAAAATTGCAGAGTTAACAAAATTTACAGGAGATTAATATTTGCCACACTTTATCAACGGTTCAAACAAAGAGTTTACATTATGCCAAATTATATCATGATCTAAATGATTGGTTACTTCAAAAATAATTTACTTTGAGAAGTTAAAATACTACGAACTGGTTACCCCAACAAAACACATAATAAACAAATACAAAAATATCCAATCATCGCTCCGAGGGAAAAAGCGTCTCGGTGATGTATCCAAAATCGTTGCGAGGAAAAAGCGTCTCGGTAACGTAAATTTTCTGTAGCGTTGGGGGCATGCCTTAATTAATTAATCAATCTGGCGTTGCGAAACATGCCCCGATGAATTAATCGTGATAACGATGATAACCACCTAAGGGGAGAAAATATCATAACCCCCCCGCCAGTCCGCAGTATAATGAACTTGTTTAACTGCCGTAAATGAACTATTAGCAATCTTGTGTGAAGAATTTAGAAGTGTTATAATGTAACACTTACGTATATGCATCCAGAGACCTATTCGTAATTAAACATAAGGTGTTTTTCCTGACTAAGTGAATTTCATGAAATCTTCTAGCAAATGGTTAATTTAAATAATCCTGATTGTTAAATTGTGTTTGCTCTAGCTGAGTATTAAGAAAAAGTAGCTTGATTTGTGAATTTTCAAACAAAGAACAGATTCACAACACGTGTTCGCGTCCGACCGGAAGTCTGCAATTTTCGATTAAAAGGGCGCAAGAATTTAACGCGCGGGTTGGGGACAACTGTATCATTATGAAAAATACGTTTGATCGTCGTTAAACAAAGGCTTCCTCCCGTTTTATTAACTACCAAACCAACTAATTTAAACCTAGTTCTTACCACGTGGTCACACACACACAGCCACATTCGTAATGAATCTACCATGCGGTTTTTCTACCAACCCTCTAACTGAAATTACCCTAGCGCTACGTTCTGCCACCTACTCAAAGATCATGCAAACTAACTCCTAAGCGCTACGTGCATTAGACCATCCATGCATATTTGGTTGCCTATGTTTAAGGATTTCCTTTTTGTGATTGAACTTTTTTTTTTTTCAAATTAAAATTATTCAAATGTGATTTCGCGCCGTTGTCAATTAATTCAGCGCGAAAAGTTTGATTTAAATTCGGTCACCACAGTCGCCCCCAAGTGTTTTCAGAGTGAAGCTTGCGAAACGAGCGGAGACACTTCCTTCTTGGTGGTGGCCGTTCCGTGTTCTTTTACGAAAATGTTCCAGTTCTCCTCGAAGCGTTTGTTGGGTGCATGAAAAGAGAAAAATGTTAGAACAGTTCTACCCAGATTCGTGTTGGAGAGAAAATGACACAATTACAAATAAATGGACAAGTGGCAAAGTGGATTCAGTCACATCATAGTCGTCCACACCATGGCTGTGTTTTCCTGCGGAAAAACATTATTCTCAACAAAGCTAGTTGAAAGCGCCCCCTTGTTTGTCAACCCGCAAGTTAACGTGCTGAAAAAAAAACAGGAACAGGATCGTTTGGCTTCGCGTCGAACACAAGATTTCTGTTGACAGCTACACCTAGTTAGAAGAAGAAAGAGAACGTCAGCTGACACTCAGATGATGTGATTCCTCTTGGTGAGGAAACCCTACGCCCCCCTGAACTCTGCTTGGGTGACCTGGAGAGAAAATGTGACATCTATGACTAAGACTGGATTAAATGGACAAAATGCTCCTCTGGGAATGGACCCCTCGCCCCCCAGTTTGAACCGCCACTGGAAATTTGAGCTACGGCGCCCCCTAGTGCTAAAACTGTTAATGAATTAAAAGCTCTCGCCCCCAATTCAAACATCCTGACACAATTTGGTCATCTGGTTCTGGAAACAAATTTTATGAAATTGAGATGGAAAATTTCAGGCATCGTTAGTGAAATCTCTCCTGACATCTTGGAAATCCTGGTGCTAAAAGATCTTGCTGAAAGATTAGTGCAGAAACCCCACACTCAGATATCGGGTTTCATTGAATTGGAACGGGCAACTTTACCTGACAAGTTAATCTCGTTCCAGGGGTTTGGCTTCGAAACTGGACTCAATCGCACGTCACTGGAATATTCGATCAAATCATTGGGACTTCCTGAACTTGATTTTTGATTTCGTCTGGGGCAATCGCACTCATTGTGTTTGGCGTCTTTGGGCATTGGGTGTTAAAAAAAAAAATATCATCGGCGGGCGATGTCGTCTCGTTCTTGGCATCTTTGGACGTCGTCGTCAATCGTGTATCGCTTTCACCTGGAGGTCGGTGTCGTTGGGAGCTGATTAGTTGTCCTGTTGATCGGTCGGCTCGGTTTTGTTGGCTCAGGGTCGGATTTCATAAAACAAATAACAAACGGCAGTACACAAAAATAATAACAAAATATGTGTTGTCTGTCAACAATGCATCTCTCTAAAGCTGTATGCAAACATTGTATGCTGGTCACGCGGCAACAAATTCTGTGATAACCCAATCTTCCCGCCTTGAAATTTGACCTTGAAAACAGTTTGAAAGGCCCGCAAAAAATTTAAAAAAATCAAAGTTTGGCCTTGGCTGTGATCGTCTAACCAATGAGAACCTACGTTGTGTGTTTTTTTTTTTGTTTTTGAAAAATGGCGGGAAGACGTTCTTTCATACAAGTGCATACTCTGTCGAGAGCGCAAGAAATAATAGACAAAAATTGTTTTGGAGGGGGGGAAACGGCACCACCCTCACAGGGGGAAATACGCTGCGAAGATTTACCCCTCAGCGCAAAAACCCCCTTGGTTTTTATTCCCGGACGACATATTATTACATTTCAAACACCTTAAGATATGTGAAAGAAAAACACTCGCGAATTCACTGAAAGAAAAACACTCGCGAATTGACTGGAAGAAAAACACTCGCGAATTTACAGACATACACATATGAAAAACGAACAAATGGAAAATTCTATAAATCTGTTTGGAATCAATGCAAATATTTGAATATCATAAGTTTAATAAACAAAGCAAAAACTGAATCAAGTAACTGGATGCAAATACACAAGTTATTACAGGCGTGTGGCGGCCGACCTCTTTTCCCCTTTTTTTTTGTTACGGCAGTTAACAGGAGCACAAGAAAAGTACCCCTGGAGCGTTGTGGCATAAGCGGAGT